ACTTGATAAACATTCTGCTCCGTAACAGCAAATGGCCACACTCTTCTCATTGCTCTCCTTTTCTTTATTTTCCCCATTCCTCCCAGAAACATCAGTTTCAGGGTGCTATCATCTTACACAATTGCTTTATTCTGGAAAAACTATGTGTAAATTAAAATTTTATAACTTACATTCAACTTTTATAAGTTGAATTGCATTCCAAGTGCACTTGGTAAGCTTTCTTTCTATTTAAAGGAACCCTTTGATGGACCCTTTCGTAATGTGAAAAATTAATTCCAAATGTATCTGCTTTACAGTTGCCGTCCCTGAATCTTTGGTTTTCTTCTCCTGGACAGCTAACTAGGTCATGGCGTTCTATTCTCAGAGCCCAGCCCCTCACAAACACTAATTGGTTTTCGCATCTAAAAGGTTGTGTATCACTTTGTCATTTCTAAATTTACATGATGTAATCCAAGTACAAAATGGGAGAGATTTCATACCCAGTGGGAGGAGCAAGTGCCACATGCTTAGCTTTCCAAATATATCTAGAGACAAAATATTTTAAAAGAGGCAGTACTTCAGGAGCGCCTTCCTCAATCTCAGATTTCAGCAATTTGTGGTTTCAGTAGGAATTGGCAAATCCCTATTACCTGGGGAGAAAATATCTGACAACTTCTCACCTTAAGATTGATTTTATGAAGAACAACAATAATCATTAAAAACAAATATGCAAAGGAACAACAACCAAAGCCCCCACCAAATCATGCATTGTAAAAGTACAGGCTATGAACTTCATTACCAAAAACTGAAAAATAAACACACCATCTTAAAGACACTGTTGAGGGCTGTGAGGCCCAGAATTGGGAGCATACATTAGTTAGGACTACACCATTCTTCTAAAAGCATTTGCCAGGCTAAAAATTAATGAGTTAGGACGCTTGTCAGATCAGCACTTCCTAGCACACTGCAAGGATTTCTGGCAGAGGCCACACAGGTAGTCAACCTTCAAAGAGGTATCCTTTGGTTACAGCTGCTGGGTCACCTCTGCTCTCACTTGGCCCTCCTGTTTATCCCCTTGGTTGTATTGCCTTCCCCCAGAGTGACTGACAGGTTAGCACTGTAGCATTCTCTTCCAGCGTGCTTCTCATACTTGGAGATATATTAGAATCATCTGGGAGATTTTACAAGCTTCTGATGGCTGGGTACCACCCCCATGTGTTTTGGTTTAATTAGTCCTGGGCATTGGTACTTGTAAAGGTTCCTCGGGTGATTCCAATGTGCAGCCAGAGTGGAGAGCCACTGTCTTCCAGGCTGTTAAACTCGTGGCCCTGCTGGGCTTACTCCATCAGTCCCTGTATCCTCAGGCTCTTTGACTTTAAGGACCTATTGATCTCTGGTCTCACTAGCTCTGTCTTTCATATATAAAAGCTGAAAAGGCAGGCTTAGGAGAAGTAGCTGAATTCGTTCCCTGACTGACTTCCAGAAGAAGCTGGAAGAAGTCCAGCAAATACGAGTATTGGCAAAAAATATCAAGCTTCTGAAAAGGGCCACCTCCTGTGCCAGAGAAATTCAGAAAGCACAGAGGAGTCTTAGGTGTGAATTCCAGCTCTGTCTCCATAAACTCAGAAAAGTGGCTTAGCCTTTCTGTGCCTCAGTTTCCTCATCCGTAAAATTGGAATACCTACTTCCTGAGGCCACTCTAAAGTAGCACCCAGCATGCAGTACGCACTCAACAGTGATAGGTATATAAGCAGAAAGCACAGAAAAATTAAAGCTTCTTCATTGATTATGTTCAAAATTAATAACAATTATGATTTATTGAGCCAGTTATCCAATTATTTATCTATGAAACAGATATTTATTACGTATCAACTTTATGTCAACCATGCTGCTAAATACTAGGGGTAGAGTTATGAATAAAACAGACATGATTCCTACCTTAGTAAAACTGACAGCTTAGCTAAATAAATGCTTTACCTATTTCTGTAGTTGATTTCAAGCAGTCTAGAGACCAAACTTGCTGAAGGGATAGTACAACCAACACACTGACGTTCAATGCACCCTCACAGAACCCTCACGTCCCTACACAGGATGTACTGTGTTGTTATGAGAAACCTGAACCAAGTAGAGAGACAAAGACTTAACAGAATTCTGTAACAGTTGTGACGGTCCAGAAAGGTAGAAGAAACCTTATGAGAATATCAAAAGGAACATGTCAAAAAACCTGATGGTTTTTTTCCACCTCATTTGGGCAGTTTATTAGCAGTGGCATATTTCTCAGGGTCTTGAAGGCCAGAGAAGCTGTGTTCCCTCTACCTCCAACTCACCCTATTGGGAGTGCATCTGCGCCTCCCATGGTGTGTAGCTGTCTCTGTATTGTAAGTTGTGTGGCTTGCCCACATTCCCGGAACCTGTATTTTTTACTTGGGTCTACCGGCATCTTTTAATCTATCACTCACTCCCGTGAATAGTGCCTCTCACAATAACAATCCTAATGGCTGGCGTTATTATCTCTATTTTATGTATAAGACTTAAGAAATTGCCCAAGGTCATTGGGCTGGTAAATGGCAAAGCTGAGCTTGAACTTCAGGTCTGTAGGACTCCACAACTCATCCTCTTAACCTCTACCTCAAAGTAGACATACTTCAGGTGATTGTGCTTTGGAAATATCAAAATCTGACTGTTCAGAGAATTAACTTTAAAACCGCGAGCAAAGAATAAGAAGAGCAGATGGAACTAGAAGACAATGCTGTGACTGAACCTAATCTAATCTTGGCCTATGGGCCCCTTATGAAATTATATAAGAGACTGGGATCTAATAAAGAATTGTGTCCATTTTGGCTGGTTATCAATCAAACCTGCTGATACTTAATTTTATGACATTCTGTAGATTAAAGGCTTCATGATTCAGAGTCCCATCTCTTCATAGCTGCAGCTGCCACTCTTTTGTTAGACCTACAATATAATAACTATAGCTAAAAAAAGCAACATTAGCAATTTGCGTATGGTATAAGATCCTTGCTAACTCCAGATAATCCTTCTTCACCTTCAGGACAAAAATTCTTACTCTGATGATGGAGAGTGTGAGTGAGTATGTAGACATTTATACGTGTGCCTGAGTATCCATGTAGAGTAGCTCACTTGTACATGCTCGGGAGCTCATGCAGAAGAACAGATATTTTAAGCCAGTTCTTTTCAGATTTCCATGGGTTGCAGTGTATATGCAATAGGGTATCCATTCAGCTTGCAAGTAACTGCCTTTTCTGTTCTTCATCCAGAACAGGGGGCCCTGACAGCCATGTTTATATTAATGAAATATGACCCCACTGCCACTCCAATCACAGTTGCTTACACCAGCAGTGTAAGGGATAGTCCACAGTTGCTTACACCAGCAGTGTGAGGGATAGTACACAGTTGCTTACACCAGCAGTGTAAGGGATAGTACACAGTTGCTTACACCAGCAGTGGCCATTTGATCCAAAAAAGGCCAATCACATTCTCACTCATGGCAGACTCCATTTATTCCTAATTCATTATGCTTTCTGGATCTATGCTCTTTGCCATGTGACTTTTCAGTTCCTTCTACTAGGAGCTGAGTATACATACTTTCTCTCCCTACAGGATGTTGGACTCAGCTATGTGACTTCCCCTTAGAGCTGGCCCATAGAATGCCATAGGATGCAACCTGAATGCAGGCTTTAAATGGGCATGTGAAACTGGATCTGTCCTCTTGAGTTCCTAGCCCTTGTCCATGAGAAGAAAATGTCTCAGGTAGCTGCTGGCCTGAGGACAGGGAAAGACATGTGGAACAGACCTGGATAAAACCTGTGCCAGAGTCAAGCCCACCTACAAGCAGTTCAGACACATGAGCAAGAAATAAATGCTTATGATTGCATATTGTTGAATTTTGGTATGTATTTTAAAGAGAATTATTGTGGCACTACATAACTGATATATCTCTCCTTAAAACTTTACAATTAAGTGGAGAGAGGAAAAAGACCATCTATTGGGAGGAACTGAGGCATGTAAATGGTAGAGTTTGCTATGGAAGAATGTTGAACTTTTTTTCCTCTCTTTGGACTTGCTCCTTTAGTTAAGTTTCTCTTCTTTTGCATTTTTTTTAGGTAAAGTTCATATAAAATACAATTAACCATTTTAAGGTGAACAATTCTGTGGCGTTTAGTACATTCATAGTGTTTTACAATAACCTCTGCCGAGTTCAAAAATATTTTCATCACCCTGAAACAAAACCTTATACTCATTAAGCCTTTATTCCTAATTTCCCCTGCCCCCTAGCCTCTGGCAACTACCAATCTGATCTTTGCTTTTTATTTTTTTATTATAATTTTTTTAATGTTTTATTTATTTCTGAGAGAGAGAGAGAGAGAGAGAGAGAGACAGCATGAGCAGGGGAGGATCAGAAAGAGAGGGAGATACAGAATCTGAAGCAGGCTCCAGACTCTGAGCTAACTGTCAGCACAGAGCCTGACACGGGGCTCGAATCCACAAACTGTGAGATCATGACCTGAGCTGAAGTCGGATGCTTAACTGATTGAGCCACCCAGGTGCCCCTGATCTTTGCTTTATAAATTGATTTACATATTACCTATTATGGACTGAGTTGTTTCCCTCTCAGTATGCAGAACTTTTGGTGCTCAGATCCTCAAAGCTGTTTCTTGGTTGCCACACAAGGAATCCTTCCTTGGATTCCATAAGATAACCACAAAATACTTTCAATAAATTCCCTTTGTTGCTGTAGCTAGATAATTCTTACTTAAGCTAGAGTTAACTGCTATCACTTGAACCTTAGAAATACCAAACTAACAAATAATAAAATTTCTATTTTTTGGTCCCATAATATTAATATAATATTATAAGAAAAATGGGCTAAAAGCTCTTACTTCAAAGTTTGGCATTCGGGTGGTAAATCCCCTATTGATAATAACCAAATCAGTTGGCCATTTTGATGAAATTATGGAATTCATCTGGAATGTGAGATTGTTGCTTAGATTGCTACTCACCTTTGGGACCAGGCAGCATAGGACCCTGCATTTAGAGCATATTCCAATTCAAAACGACTCCGTAAAGCTGCCACATGGCTCCGGCCAGGCGCTCCACGACTCACCAGGCAGTCAGAAGAAGAGGAAGGTGAGAGAGACCCACTGCTGTTACTTGATGCAGGAGATATCAGCTGAGTGAAGAAGGGGTAGTTTCAATCCTTTAATAAAACCAACAGGCTTAGGGCATAGAATAAGAATATAGATTTATTTTAACTTTCTATTCTAGGATTTCTCATTTTTAATTTCTATTCATCTCAGCTTGCTTCTGGCTTTTCCTATCGGCCTCTGATGGCAACACATGGCTATCTTAATTTACTTTTTTGACCCAGTTCTATGCTGAGAGCTGGCCCTTTAAACTTACACTCGTCTTTCAGAAAACATGGTAGGCTGAAATCAGATTCATAAAATAGATATTTAGAAGGTTATTATTTCATAGCTAAAAGATTACATTTTTCACTCTGGTGATAAGATTCATGGCAGAGTTCCTTTAAATTGTAGCCTAAAATTATCTCCTTTATATGAAATTATTTCCTTTACATAAAATGAATTTAAACATTTTTCCAAGAATACATCCATTTTATAAAATGAAGGATGCTTTAGTGTCTGGCAAGCATAAAGACTAAAGAGAGTTGTTGGGAGAGAATTTTTAAAAATACTTACAAATAGTTAAGTGTAGCTATAAAATAGAAGAGTATTGAGGGAAGAAAATGAGGAGTAGAGAAAAAATAGGAATTTTCTTGAATTTCTGACGACCTTGCTGTTTATGCACTTTACCTAACCCAACTGAGAACATTAGTGCTTTGACATTATAATTTCATAAGACATGCAGACAGTAGGTTTTGGTTTAAAAATATAATGTATGTAAATTCTAGGCTCTTCACAGTAGCCAAGACATTTCTAAGTAAAGCTCTGAGAATCATGTGATGTCAGTGTTGAAATGAACCTTCAAACTCTTCAATGATTGAATCTTTCTGTGACTCCTTTTTCAAGTGAGCTATGCAAGTTGATGGGGAGCCTCCAGTGATGGGGAACTCACTGCCTCCAGATCTGTGCATTTATCTTAGGACAGATCTGACAATTAGAAATAAAGTTCTTTCTCATAAAAAAACTGAAACCCTAATTATACTTCATTTCCATCTGGTGGCCCATAGAAACAAGGCCAATCCCTTTGCCATGTTATCATTTTTCAGCTGTTTAAAAAACAGCTCTTGGACTCATCCTAATTTTCTCTTCTCTGGGACAAGCATCCCTGGTTCCTCTAAGTGGTTCTCACATACATGATTTTCAATCCATTCATCAATCTGATCTCTCTTCCCTAAAATTGGTGTTCCAGTGATAACTATCCTTTTAAAAAGACATAACTGGTACTATTTTGTTTGGCCATCTCAGAAGAGAGGAGAATAATCCCATCCTTTATTCTGTAGCAAAACAGCTACTTCACATTCTAACTCTCAAAGAGCTTATTGTCCATTAATGTTCATGAGGCTCCTAAACCATATCTCCACCATTTGATATTCTTACTATTGTTTCTTTGACCCTGGTGTGTGATGTTATACTTATTCATGTTAGACATGTCCTTTCATTTTATCTTCAAAGATACGGAGTTCCACAGACCAAGCCCCTTAAAGCTGATTCTGGTCCATTATTTAGTGTGACCCAGTCCAGCAAGTTCTCTTGCATATAGTTATTCATCTTCTCTACAAGGGGAGATTTTGCTAAGAGGCTCAGTCAGTATAAGAACACAAACTGGTTTAGGAAGTCCTACCGTTGTCTGTTTCTGGAATCTGCTTTTTCAGCTAATTGGATATATCCCCAGGCTTGGGGCAGTTTTTCCCTGGGAAACATGAAGGTTCCAAGTGAGAATTCCACTTGGAACTCAAGCCTTAAAAGTGTCTCTCAATAGTCAAGGCCTCTGGCAGATGCTCTTGTTGGTAGGGGCTGCTGAAGCCCCACCAAATACACTCCTACTTCTCTCTGGTTTGTATGTTTCAGGACCAAAGAGAAGGGAGTTGAAGTTTAATGTCCAAAGACTGATACTACCTACATACAAGGCTTCCTTTTAAGGAGTTCTGGTAAAGAGACATGAGACAGAGCCATTCACTCCAGGCTCCAGGTGAAGACCTGGAGCCCTTTCCCGATAAACTGGGTTCTAATGACTCTATGTTGAGGTATATTTTGCGGGGGGGGGCGTTTGGGGGGAACTGGATGGTTCCACTTTGGGATTTAGCTGTGTAGTCTCAGGTTGATGCCATTTCCCCCATTTTGCCCCTTCCCTTCTTATGCACATGTATATGTGAGCCTATATGTGTGATGTCTACCCCCCTCTCTTGCAGCACTCATTTGCATTGGGAATATATTATTATTTTTGAATTAGTGCTCATGATTTAGCTTCCTTGCTTATTTTCAAATGCTATCTTCTGACCAGGTGTATAGAAAATTAAGGCAATTAGAGAGAAAATTAAAGCAAACAGCTCTTTGATATTAAGGGAAGAAAATTCCATTAGCCTGATTACCAACATATATCACTTTATACAACATATGTGTGGTATAAAAGCAATGCATCCCAATTAATTTATGCATTAATTTTAGTGATAAGTTTCCCTTTCTTATTGAGCTTAAATACACAGTGGCTTAAAATTTAATTTATGTTTCACTGTATGTAGGAACTTTTGTATAGAAAAAGTTGATTTAAACAATTAACTTCTAATATATTTGCATGCACTTGCAAGCAAGCAGGGGAGGGGTAAAGGAGAGGGAGAGAGAGAATCCCAGGCAGGCTCTATTGATCTCACAAACCATGAGATCATGATCTGAGCTGTAATCAAGAGTCAGATGCTTAACCGACTGAGCCACCCAGGAGTCCCTACTGTATTTTCAAATTTTTATATATTAATTTTTAAAGCTGGGCATACCTGTGACCATTTGCCTGACTGATTATTTGTTGGAAAGGCCCAGATTCATGCTGGATTTGTTTTTGTCCCTATAGATTCAGTCAGTCCACCCTAGAAACTTAATGAACAGGTTAAAAATAGGAATGAAGTTATGGACTTTTATACCTACTGTCTTTCTAGAAGTACCATCTTACCTATTGCCCAACACCCTTGGATACTCACGACTTTTTTATGGACATATTTCAGAAGCTAAAGTTCTTACCTCAATGTTGCAGAGACACTCTTCTAACTTGGTAACAACTTCAGAAAATTCGGGTCTTCCCTGTAAATAAAGAAAAGACTTTTTTCCCCCAAAGAATAAAGGGGAGGCAACTCTCTTTGGATTTTAAAATTGGGTATTTGCATTTGTAAAGAATGAGATTAACAATAAAGTATATTTTTATTTAAAATACACTTGTATTGAAGTGTTAATTGAATGTTCATTTGCTGTTCAGGGAGGGATGTTGAGTCTCCTTCTGATAAGAGTTTTAAGTCAGAATTTGCAACTACATTCAGATAATGAAATAGTGGAATAGCTTTAATTAGCTTTGCATGCTTTTAAATGGCAGGTTTTCCTCTTCAAAATGAAATAATAAAAGTGAATACTAAAAACTGTTAACTATCTCAGTGCCTTATAATATACTGCACAATGTGTCTATAGGAAAAGAACGGCTAAAACAAATTTTATAATTAGCTTCATTTTTGAAAATACCACCTCAGATTCAAAGCTAAGATCAATAGAAACCTCATGACTATGCCCTATTTTAGGGTTAAGATAAGCTTTTTGTATTTAAAAAAACACTATCATTAAAGACATTGTTCGTTATGAACTTCTGTGTCAGATGAGTCTGCTTAAACAAACATTTAGTGTATTCTGATTATATTCCAAACTTTGTTCCAGTTGCTAGGGATACAAAGATGATTATGGATCTATGAAAAAAACTCTGGGAATTTCAGAAAGTATTGTTCTCTTTGGAAGAAATTATATGCCTCCTTTTGTCAGATCCTAGGGACTATATAACCTATCATTTCTCCTTTATGAAACTTTTACTGCCAGGAGGTGGATAGCCCAATTTAACATTCAGGTGCAGTAACCACCTAATTTAGATTCTTAGTAGAACAGTTTCTCCCTTAATATGTAGCCCTCCCCTGAGGACACTGCTTCCCTCAGAGCCCTCTCAAGTGGAAGCTGTTTTATCTTGCATATTTCTGGTACCTCTAGGTTGGTGGGGGTGGTGATGGGGTGAGTAGAGTTCTGGGTCTTCCTGACTGGTCCTGCAACTTCCGAATGGTTTCTCCTCTAAAAACCACCAGTTCATCAAGCTCTCCCACCACTCATTCTCCCCCATTCTTTGAAGGCTTTAGTGTTTGGCTCCCTGCCATGTGAACACTACTTAGCGCTTTTACTATCCATGCAGCTCATCATTACAATGGGTTCCTGACCTCTGGGTTCCTTTCCTTTTCTGCCTTGATCTTATTCCACCTTCCTGGTAGGTAGTCACATAGCTCCCTAGGCCCTGTTACTAACAAGGTCTGCAAGCTTTAATGTCTTAAACCTGTCAATTTCCATCAGATCACTATCTAGATTCTATCTCTTTTTGTTCTTGCTTACTTCTTCTGGAACCCTGACTCCAACAATTGGTAACCACACAAAAGCATCTTACTGCTTTAAAAAACCAACTGTTTATTGTGAACATATTAGAGAACAATTCAATAAACCTTCATGTATCTACCATTCAGCCTTGAAAACCATGTTTTTGCTAATATTGTTCTATGGACATATATATGTCCATATCTATCTACCTACCTACTTTTTATCTAATCTATCTCCCCTATTTTTGGTTCACCTTAACACTTTTTCACTGTCATTTACTCACCTTGTTTTTTCTTAGATTTCACTGGCAATCATAATCACTCTCTTCCATATAGCCTCAACTCCTTTGACTTATCATGGATGTCATACAGTATTGGGAAATATCCCAATCTTGACTGAATCCATCCTGACTGGATTTATTTCAAAAGCATGTCCTTCTAGGGGCGCCTGGGTGTCTCAGTCGGTTAAGCATCCAACGTCAGCTCAGGTCACCATCTCATGGTTCGTGAGTTCAAGCCCTACATCAAGCTCTCTGGTGTCATTGCAGAGGCTGCTTCAGATCCCCTGTCACACCCCTTCTCTCTCTGCTCCTCACCTGCACATGTGTGCATGCTCTCTCTCTCTCTCAACAATAAATATTAAAAAAAAAAATTTCCCTCTAACCTCAAGTGGACCCTCAGTACTGCCTAGGGAGCATATTACACATTTTTAGCTCACTCACTCTCACGCTCCAGAAACCTATTTTGTACCTTCTCTTCTTTCCTTAAACATCTACATTGACCACTCACCAATGTCTAAATTCACATAATTTGCCTTCAGTCCCATTTTTATGGATGGATTTTGCCTGATTCTATCTGAGGCCAATTCCTTCACTGTGTCCTAATTCTTATCCCTGCTAATCTCCTCAAGGGTATTGCTCTAACAATTCTCCCTTCTACTTTTTTTTTTTGCCTCACCAATGTTCCTTTTCTTTTATTTAGTCCCATCAACATACAGACATCCTATAAATTCTTCCATCTTAAAAACAAATAAGCAACAAAATAAAACTCTTGGCTCTACTTCTTCCTCAGGCTACTACTCTGTTTTCTCTATTCACCAAAATTGCTCTAAAGAATTGCCTACATTTGCAGTCTTGTACTTTCTTCCTTCCATGTGACCTCCGCCCAAATCAGGTTTTCTCCTGTGACACTCTGCTAACCTTGCTCTTGTTTAGGATACAAAGACCTGCTTCCACATTGCTAAATTCAAAGGTTAAGTAAGGTTAAGTTTCTTTTTTTTTTAATGTTTTATTTATTTCTGAGAGAGAGAGAGAGAGCGTGAACAGGGGAGGGTCAGAGAGAGAGGGGGATACAGAATCTGAAGCAGGCTCCAGGCTCTGAGCTAGCTGTCAGCACAGAGCCGACGTAAGGCTCGAACCCACAAACTATGAGACCATGACCTGAGCTGAAGTCGGATGCTTAACCGACTGAGCCACTCAGGCACCCCCAAATGTTAGGTTTCAAAGCTCAACTTACCTGGCACTGCATTAAATACAGATAATCATTCATTTATTCCTGAAACATTATTTAATCAGATTTGAGGCCACTAGTTCTCACTATTTTTCTCTTCTCTCACTTGCTCTTTCTCAGTCTCCTCTGTTAGTTTCACTTTTCCTCTTTATCTTTAAATTCTGGATCGCACCAGGACTCAGGCTTTGGGTCTCTTCTCATCTATCTTTAGAGTTAATTTGTTGAGGATTTAATTCTGTCTCATGGCTTTAAAAAACAACTCCCAAATATCTATATCTAGCCCAGTACACTCCCTTAAAATCTAAATTCACATATGCAATTTCTTATATTTATAGTCTTCCCTACTTCAGTAAATGGTAACTCCATCCTTTCACTTACAGAGGCCAAAAACCATAGACTAATCTCTAATTTCTCTCTTTGTCATACTCTTGCTTCTAATCCACCAGCAAATCATATTCATTCTGCTTTCAAAGGGTATCCAGAAACTGAATGGACAGAAAGCATTTATCGCAGATCAACCCTACCCCAGACAACAGTAAACTTTGGACTAAATGTAAAAGATAGCTAGCTACTTGAAGGCAGAAGAGAGAGAACAAAAGCTGGTAGATTCTGGAGGAGAGTCACTTAGAAAAAAGGAAGGGCATGTAATAAGTTTTCCACCTTTTCATTTTTTACAACACTTACCCTAAGGGCAGCCCTCATCTACATCTTAAAGAACAATGAAAATTCTTAGGAAGGCCTGCAGGCTTGCTTTCTTTAAAAAACAGAAGATAAAATTCAGGGCAATCAAAGTTTTTTAGCTATCGTTTTATAACAAGTTATCACAAATTTCATGGCTTAAAACAACACCCATTTATTATCTTACAGTTTCCATGGGTCAGGAGTTGAGTGAAAAATAACTGGGCCCTTTGCTCAGGATCTGATTAGACTAAAATCAAGATGTCAGCTAGCACTATGATTCTCATCTGAGTCTCAAGTCCTCTACTAAACTCACTGGTTATTGAAGAATTCATTTCAGGGACATCTGGGTGGCTCAGTTGGTTGAGTGTCTAACTTTGGCTCAGGTCATGATCTCAAGGTTTGTGGGTTCAAGCCCAGCATCAGGCTCTGTGCTGAGAGCTCAGAGCCTGGAGCCTGCTTTGGATTCTCTGTCTCCCTTTCTCTGTGCCCCTCCTCTACTCTTTCTCTCAAAGATAAATGTTAATTTTTTTTTTTTTTTTTTTTGTAAATTCATTTCCTTGTGGTTGTATGACTCAGGTTGATGTTTTCTTGCCAATAGTTTAGGGATGACTCTGCTTCTGGAGAATGCCCACAGTTTCTTGCCACATGGTCTCTATAAGCAGTTCACAACATGGCCATTTGTTTTCTTCCTGGCCAGCAAGGACATGTTTTTCTTCTTCCTCTGTGACAACTGGAGAAACATTCTCTGCTCTTAAAGGGCTCATCTGATTAGATCAGGCCTACCCAGGATGATTTTCCTTTTGCCATATGAAAAAAAACATAATTATAGGAGTAATATTTCATCATATTTGTAAGTTCTGCCCATATTTAATGGCAGGGGATTATCCCTGGCACATATACCAGGGGGCAGGGATCATGGTGACAATCCTAGAATTCTGCTAGAAAATGAGGGGAGATCCTGGAAGAAAAGAGTCTGAGAAAGGGAGCCCCAGAATCTGCATATAAACTGTTTAAATCTCTGGCTGATCTCTGGACCACATACGCACAAGGCCAACTAAATAGCTCGGTAAGTTTAAAGAAATGGACTGAGTTAGATCTTTCACTTGATGCAGGGCATTGTTCTTACTATTTTCTCGGACTAGGATTATCTAACTCTTATTCTCTGCCTGTAGAAATCCTCTGCCCTCTTCAAGGCCCAACTCACAAGATAGATCCTTTTTTAAGTGTCCAAGTGATTCCAAAAAATAACTTTGTGACACTATTTAGATTTATTTCATTCTTCCTTGTGTTATAACTAAGTATTTACATGTTTATGTCACTAGCAAGAAAGTGCTTTAAGAATAAACAATGGCTTATTTATTCCTGATTACCTAGCATGTCCCATTCCACAGGGTAGCTTGTTTGAGCTCAAATTTGTTACATTAAATTACATGATGATAATATAAAAATTATCCATCCTCTACCACTCTTTTTCATCTAAACCATCATCATCTCTTTCAT